AGCACCATTAATAAAAGTTTAATTTAAAAATGAGTGACATTATATGACTTATATACACATAGTGTTTCATGTATATATGTAAAACTGAAGCAAAACTTAATGATTTTTTTGACCTATACCAAAGTTACTCATGATTCACACAATTCAATGTAACTGAAATATTAGTATCTATAACCAATGATTTTCTTTTCCAAGCCATTTTTAAAGTGTCATCCTCAATACTACTGCAAACCATCTGGAACTACTTAACTTTGCCAGCCTGCTGGGATATCTGTCTCCCCTTGGGAAGCCCATCCCACACTAAATGAATAACTGAGGAAACAACTGCTCTGAAAAATGTGACGACATACAGCTCTAAAAAAGACTTCAGAGTATCTGTTTCTTCCAGATTAAAACAAATTTAGCCTCAGTATTGTATAAAGAAAAAAAAAATCCACAGTATTGATTTATAAACTTTCACAAGTACCTTCCTATTCACAATTGCTATACAGTTCCATATTTTTATTTGAAAACTATTTCCATGCTATAATGTATCTTACCACTTTTTTTTTTTTTTTTTTTTTTTTGGTGTTTCACTGTAGTCCAAGCTGTCCTTGAACTCATGTACATCACCTACACTGGCCTCAGATTCACAGCGATCCTCCTATTTCAGCCCCCAGGATATAGGGTTTACAGGCATGAGCCACCATCCCCAGCTCCACTTTCACCTTTTCAAAGAGTTTCTCATCAACCTCAGAAATCCTAAGGTTATGTCATCAGAAGATATTTTAATCTCTTTAGGGACATTTAAATTTAGAAAAAAAAAAAAGTAAAACAGCTCATTTTTCTATTAGCAATGGAAGGCTCCAAATCGCTTAATTTTTGTTAATAATAAATTCAAAATAGTTATAAACTATTACATAAATTTATTATTGATTTTTGATGTTTAATAGATTGAAATCGTGTGACTGGTCTCAATAAAAAGTATTTATAGGGCCAAGATTGTAGCTTAGTGCTACAGTGCTCTTCTAGCATGAGCAGGGCCCTGGGTTTAATCCCTAGCACTTGAGGAAAAAAAAAATTTATAGTTCATAACAGAAGTCTTTTTCATTCAAAGGAATTTTTGACATTTTATTCTTTCAAAATGTTACATGTTGTGTTATATAGCAGAAGAATATCTAAGTATAAGTGTCCCATTTTAAACTTGAAAAGCAAAAAATTTTACCCTAAATATTGAACTTTTATGTGTATATTCACACTAGGGATTGAACCCCAGTCTTCACACTGAGCTATATCCCTGGCCCCTTTTATTTTTTGAGATAAGGTCTAAATTGCTTGAAAAACTTAAATTTCCATTTATAACTATATTTGTTCATTTAAGCTTTGATCTTTCAGTAGGGAGGTAGCTCAGTGGTAGAACATTTGTTCTACCACATATTCCAGCCCTGGAGTTCAATCCCCACTACCACAAAAAGAAAACGAAAACAATCATGCCCAGTCATAGTGGCACAGGTCTGCAATTCCAGCTACTCAGGAGACAAAGGGAAGACCCTGAGGCCAGCTTACACTATATAGCAAGACCCTGATTCAAAAACTAAACCAAAACCAAACAAAATAAAAAAAAATCCCACAGAAACAACTGGCAACTGCTTATTTTAAATCTGCTGTTCCTGATGAAGTAAGGCGGCACATGCTGCAATCCCAGCATACAGAGGGCAGGGGACTTCCTGGAGTTTGAGACCAATCTGAACTACCAAGTGAGTTCCAAGACCACCCTGAACTACATAGTGAAATCCTGTGTAAAAAAAAAGAGAAAGGATTTGTTCCTATTCTGAAATATTGAGAAAATACCACTATAATGTCTTTAAGTTAAAAAAAAAATTTAGGCAGTACTGTATATGCCACTGAATTATCCTTCCAGCAAAGTAAAATTCTAATCAGTGTGTCATTGAACAGCTATATATATTTCTAAAACACTGGCAGAAAAATACATTAGTGAATTTATATAAAACTACTATTAAATATGCTGTTGCTTTCTTGCTTAGTTTCAACTATTAGCCTGGTGAACATACAGTATAGTTCAGGTAACTTCATTTAGGAATTTTAGCACCATTTGACAGGCATGATAATATATATATATATATATGGGGCACTGCATGCATGTGTGGTGCTCAGGGTCTTGCATTGCTCTACCACTGAGCCACTTTCCCAAAGTCAAGCATGACTTTTTTGTTCGTTTTGAGGCAGGGTCTCACTATGCAGTGCAGGCTGACCTTGAACTTGATATGTAGCCCAGGCTAGCCTCCAGCTCACAGCAATCCTCTTGCTTCAGCCTCCTGAGTGCTGGCATTACAGGCATGCACCACCATGCCCAATGACAACTTTAAAAGACTATTAATAATTCTCAAAATAATCACACTGGTGGGGATTTGTAAAAATACTTAGGAAGAAAAAAACCCTGCATTTTCTCCATACACGCAATTCCAGCATACATTTCTGTACTCAGAATTATTTCTGAGTATTTCCCAGGAAATTTGAGAAACCAGTATTACAACTGTATCAGTATCGAGGTTCAGGGCTGGGAAGACAGCTCAGAGGTCTAAGAGCCTGCATGGCAAGCACAATGATCCGGGATCAATCCCTGGTACCACATGCCATTCCGGCCCTGGCTGTGAGCAGGCCACTGAAACTGAAACCAGGTATGGTGACCCACACCTATAATCCCAGCTCTGGGGAGGCTGAGACAGGAGGATCACTATGGTCTGAGCTGCATAGCAAGACCCTGTACTGAATAAATAAATAAATAAATAAATAAATGATTAAAACAACAACACAAAAGTACTGAGGTTCAGGGATAATTCTGAAAAATGTCGGAATCATGTGTACATAATGTCTGCTCTGAATCTGCAAAATAAAATGCTTGGACAAATGATCTATCCCCAGTCTTCCACTATTAATTCTTCTAAACTAAGTCTGATGTTTTTCTCTTATACATAAAATAAAATTTAAAGAGGTCAAAGTCCATCTTTAAAAACTTTTTTAACTTGCTAAGGACCTTAAAGATACTTCATACATAAACAAGCCAGCCATTTTATATCTGAATAAAAACACATTGATGGCATCAGTACAAAACACAATATGAAATCTCTGATTTTATATGAAATAAGCACAGGAGACCTCTGATTTAAGATGAAATTACATATTACAACTTTAATTTTGCTACTTTTATTTCGAACCCAAACTTCTGAATTTCATGGCCACTTTATCATTTGGATGATTTTTCTACTTTATATGTGCATCAAAATTAAGCTTATTTCTCTTCCACATGAAAAAATACATATCTTCTTACCATCATCTTTATATAAATTTCATTTTTTAAAAAGTTATTTAATTATAAATGTATAGGGTTGTACAAAACTAATGACTTTCTCCCTTCCTTTGAACATTCTCCAATGTTCAAATTGTGTTCCTTCACTTCTATACCTGCATCAGTTAAGGAAAAAAAATTGTCAAAATAGTACAGTATTCATCTGATGCTGAGATAAATTCCTTCACTTTGGTATTTCCGTTTTATTTTAAGGAGGAAGCTTTAACATCTTTAAATAGTGTAAAAAATGACATTTCATAAAGTCCTTTTCTATGATAGTTTGCAAAGACTTGGGAGAAATATTCTAAAAACGTTAAGGCTCTTTATCCCTGGTGGTGTTATTACACGCCATTTTATTTTTCACATTTTCCAAAAAGCATTATTTTCATGGAAATTGAACAATATTTTAAAATGAAATTTTAGATAGTTTATAAAGTATGAGACACCAAAACAGTGCACTAGAGTGTTTAAATATTTCTTCATTTTGATAACCTGGCACTTTAAGAGAAGAATCACTTGATCAGATGTCTATTAGGGTGGATAAGGACAAAACAGCTTTATTTTCCAGGCCTTTCATTTATTTAGGCTTTTGAGCAAATCGAAGAAGTGATTTTGAACTTAATTGCAGTGAATCTGGCAGTAGTAAACTTTCTAAGTGGTCAGAGTAACACCTTTCATTACAACTACTATATTAGCTAAATAGCAAAAGATTTTCAGGTTTATCTATATTTTCTGAGACTTCTTTAGTATTCTCCTGTCATTATTTCTGACAATTCCATATAGAAAGAAACGCAATTGTAAACCGTTTCTATTTCAAGCCCATAAAACCCAGAACTGAGATGAAAGGCAAAGTCTTGACCTTTCTATTTTAGACTTTCATCTGTGTAGCTAAGCCATCTGCTTTTACCCCACCTCCCACCTCATCTACTTAATGGACTGAAAATACTGCACCTAATTGCAATTTTATCAAAGCAGCCTGACTTTCCACTTTAACGAATTACCCGACTCTGGCTTTTCACCTGAAGGCTCGCTTGGTAAAAATTTTATTTAACCTTCCCTTCTAATTCCTTCTCACCTCCCTCAGTTACGAGCTGTCAACGTCTCTGAACTAAAATACTAGTCTCCCGTGCATTAAGCCGTCTAAAGAGATCTTCACTTTCCACAGTGAGCGCCTGGCGGAAAACCTAGCCGGGTCTCTCCTCAGGATCTGGGGCCGGTATTATCATCACTGCTGCGATTACGCAGGATGCATCTCAGCTCAGTCTAGAAAGGAGTCGCGTCTCTGCCGCCAAACAAGGGACCCAGTCCGGAGAAAGACCCAACTAGATTGGGAGGAAACCTCCAGGACAGAAGGGAGCCGAGAAAAAGAAGGGATCTCAAGACTAGAAAGAAAGAGCTTCCGAAGCAGGAATGAGAAAGGGTGTGGGAAGTGGCGGGCGGCCAGCGGGAAGGGGGAAGAAAGGGCCGCGGCCCGCCGGAGGGCCGGGCAGGAGGCGCGGGGACCGAGGCGGGCGTGGGCGCCCTCAGGAGCGGTAGGTGCGGGGGTGAGGAGCAGAGAAGACAGCAGCAGTTGAGGGGCCGAGGAAGCGTCGTCCGAGGCCGGCGCGACGGGGACAGCGCCACCCCCGCCCCCAGCCAAGCCCCGCTACTTAACTATTTGTAGAGCTGCTGCAGGCACAGGTCCAGGCTCTCGCCCTCCACCTCCTCACGGGTGATGCGCTCCGACAGCGGCCGCGGGAGCGGGGGCAGCGGCGGCAGCTGGGGCTGGGGTGGCGGTGGCACGGCCGAGTGCCCCGGGGCCGCCGCCGCCGCCTCCTCCTCCCCCTCGCCTTCGGCCGCCGCCACCGCCTCCTCCTCCACCGCCTCCTCTTCGGGCTCCTCTGGGTCTCGCTCCGGGTCACCCTCCTCCGTCGCGGCTAGCGTGGCCGCCTCCTCCCCGGGTTCCTCGACCGAAGCCTCGGCCACCTCGGTTGCTACCAGTTCAGGTTCAGGCTCGGGCTCGGACTCCGGTTCGGGTTCCGGCTCTGGCTCGCCGCCGCCGCACGGTCCGCGAAACTCGCCTAGGAATAGCTCCAGGAAGCGCCGGTAAGTTTTCTCCTCAGGGCTGCAGCCGGCCATCGCTGCTCATGCCCCGAGGCCGACCGGGAAAGGGGTGGGGGAAACCCTGGAAGGGGAGGGGGCTGCTTCTGAGCCTTGGGCTCCCGCTACGGCAGTTAACAGCCGCACCAGCAAGAGCGATCAGCACTAGGTTGCTTGGAGAGGGCTCCCGCAGGCGTGCGCGCCACCGAGGACGGACGTGCGCGGCCCCGGGGCAGAGCGCGCTGCCCCTCGGGTCTGGAGGGAAAGTTGGTGACGAGTGCGCGCGCAGGGTCCAGCGGCGGCCCACCCTCTATCCCTATGGAGAGCTCAGCCCACGCTGCCTGGAGACCGTCGCCATGGCAACCAGTTCTAATTAAGAATTTCAGGGTCCCTTTCAAGGAGTCTACAGAGTCGTCCAGGGACACAGGTCGTCCTGTGCCTGCCCTCCAACTCTAAATGTCTTTATTGGATGAAGACCCTAGTCTCAATGTTATGAAGTTATTCCCCCAGCCAAACTGCTGGTTCCCACTTGGATTGCATTTACTTATTGATAACTTGCTTCAGCCTATAGGATGAAAGACACCATGTTGTGAATACCTTTTGTTGATGGCACTGAATGAACAAGTAGTTGAGATGTGGGGAACATCCAAAAACATACCTAATGGGAGGTTCCTTTACATAGGTTCTCTCATTTAGATTAGTCTCATTCTCAAAGAAAAAAAGTAAATCAATAAATTATTTGCGTCGTTACCAAAACTTTCAATCATGAATTAAATTCATGGTTAGAATTAAACTCCAAATTAGGCTCCAACACATTTTAGGCATATTTCCCTTGCCTCTAAAAATTCAACAGTGCCTGGTGTCCATATGCCCTGTAAGTTTACAAATTGTTCTCACCCTTTTCAACTTTACCACAGCCCTTCAGATAGATACTACCATTGTGATTGTTTCACAGATGAGGGGAGGAAGATTTAAACATGCCACGACTTTGCTCAAGGTCACAGGCAAGTGATGCAACATGGACTGAATCTATGATTGAGATTAAGTACATTTCACCCATTGTTTTTCCATTACACCCACACTCCCCTCTTGAGTTTCTTCATAAAATATATAACACTGTACTGCATGTAGGTTCTTTCCTATCGTATTTTGTTTGCTTCTCTTCCTATCCTCTCCCATTTCTTTTTTCCTTCCTAGGCTTAAACTGAAATAAAATGATTCTAATTTCTTAAGAAAGTACGCACAAACCTATTATTTTCAAGCGTCACTGAGGAGTAAAAGAGGGAGAAGCTGTGTTGCTATACAGCTGTTTAGTATCATTACTGCATACTGCCATGTCCATGGCAACATATAATTCAGCAAAAACATAGTGATTCTCTATTTTGAAAAACATGTTCTTGCAAATTATCTACCCCATCCTCTCCAGTTATTGTTTCTGGGTTTCAGTTGGATTTAGGTCTGAAATACCATTTCCAGTCAGTTATTAATGGCAGAAGAGGGAAACTCTTCACCAACTGTTTTCATATAATACTGCATTCTAAATCCCTGACCTGATACTGTTATTTTAAGATTAAGTGGGTTGGGCTCACTAATGTACATTATGGCATCATGTGAAATAGAGTTCCATGCTTTCCTCGCTTGAGATTAAATAATACGTGATAGAAAGCATATAGTGTATAATGCACTTGAGCTCTCTGTACCTTTTTTCTCAAAAGTAAATGGAAAGACCCAGTAAGTCTGCTTCCAGACATGCTAAATGTATTTGTTTTGTTTAAAACATCATCAGTGTAAAGCAATGTCTCCATGAGATGCCAAGGAAGCCTTTAAACTCATTTGTCTTTGTTTTCAATATATCTGCTCATTTCCATTTCATAACGTCTAGAAAGATTGGCAAAACTTTTTAGGCTGCAAACCTAAATGTCCACAGTTTTACATTTCAACAATTGTTAATATCCCAGAATTTGACATGCTGACATTTTGTTCAAGAGTACTGAGCTGTCAACTGCAACAATGCATATCACGCTACACCTTCCTGCTTCATAATGTAGTTGCCTCCCTCATCTAGATGACATTTATTTGTGACATTAATTTCTGACTCAACCCACGTATCAAAGGGAAGTGATCTATGTTGGTAAAACATTACTTCTAAGAGTAAAAGAAAAAGCCCACATCTCTATATTACTATGAGAGGCATGTTTGCTGATATTAATAAAGATATTCTTTCACAAAGATCAATATAGATTCTAATGCATCCATTTGACAAAGTAGCTGTGCCAGAAGGTTGCTGTCAGAAACTCAGAGCAGGTATGTAGGATGATTTTGTCATTATCAAGTCTTTTTATGTGAGCCAAATTAAACCTCTCCTAGTACGGGTGTGGTGGTGCACGCCTGTAATCTCAGCACTAGGGAGGCTGAAAGCAGGAGGATCACTACAAGTCTGAGCTGTGTAGTGAGACCCCACACAATAATCTCTCCTCCTTTAAAAGGTCTTTTTAATCATTATTTTTCATCTTATTTTTCATCACTTTGCATTTCTTTTCAGTTCCTCTCCTTTTATACTTTAGTCTTTTATTTAAAAAAAAATCATGTTATGAAAACCATAGTGCATATCAGTGATATTGAACATGACTGAGATTTCTTGAGATTGTTTTCTTATAGAAGTTATTGTCCTTCTAACCCTTAACCTCTTTGAAGGAAATGCACCATGTCTTTTCATGGACATTCAAAATTACATTTCAAAGGTAAAAAGAACTGTTGTGTTTGGCAGTTTCTTAGATGACCTAGCAATTCTTCTCTCAGACTTACCCATTAGATGAAAAAACAAGTCCAACATGTACACCCAAGTACAAACACACACACACAAAAAAAAAAAAAAAAAAAAAAAAAAAAAAAAAAAAAAAAAATTTTTTTTTTTTTTTTTTTTTTTTTTTGTGACTGGGTCTGGCTGAGTTGCTGTTCATATAGCAGTCTTGAGACCTACTGTATCTCATTGATAAATTTGCTCCCATTGAACGTGTCTACTGCGATTCCAACTTTGGCCAGTGACCTCACCACAAGCTCTAGAAATACCATCTTCCTATATTTGTCCTTGTTATGGTTTGTATACAGTTGTCCCCCCAAAGCCTCATGCAGTCTTGGGGCAGCTTCTGGAGTTTGTGGTTGATTATTGTGGGTGTGGATGCTGCACCTGCCCTGGGGCAGGAAATTTGTATTTCAATGTAAGGAGAAAAGAGAAGTTAGCTGCTTGAGCTTCTGCTACTCCTCCCTTGAGCTCTTGCTCTTTCCTGTCACCATGAAAGGTTGTTCTCTGCTTTGTGCTGCTCTGCCTTGGAGCCAGCTGAATATGGACTGAAAACCTCCAGTAACGGTGAGCTAAATAAACCTTTCCTTTCTTCATTTTGGGTGTCCAGTATTTGTCCCAGCAATGCGAGAAGGGTAACTAAGACAGTCCTTTAGGTACACCAGCAGCTTTCAGCTTCCTAAACCTTTAAAAATGAAGTAATCCTTTATTTATAGCTCTTCTACCACTTTTGCAACAATCACTTCTGTACTTTCTTAACTAGATCTTGACAGATAGGGTAAAAAATCTTAAGGAACTATAAAGGAGACTACAACTATAAATGGATCAAGGTGAAGTTAAAGTACATTTAGGTCTCTGAAGATGCTCCTGGGACACTGAGTTCACCTAAGCAGTTAGTGTAAATTATTTCCAAAATAGGGATAGGTGGTCAGGGCTTGGGAGGGACAGGCAGAGCACAGGAAATTTTTAGGGTTATAAAAACTATTTGGTATTACTTGAATGATGGATAAGATTTCAGTATACCCATAAAATGTACAAGATTGAACCCTAATATAAATTGGAGGCTTTAGCTAATAAGATACCAATACTGGCTCATCAACTACAACCACTGTGCCACATTAAAGCAAGATGTAAATAGTAGAGAAAAATGGGGTGAGAGAAGGGGCATATAGGAATTCTTTCCTTTCTGCTCAACTTTATTGTAAACCTAAACATGCTCTAAAAAAAGTCTTGAGGGCCAGGGATATATATAATATATAGTTCAGCAGCAGAAGCACCTATCTGACAAGGACAAGGTCCTGAGTTCAATTCCTGGTACCTAAAAAGAAAAATAAAAAAGTCTTATAGTTTTCAAAAATAGCTAAACTATCTGGTAAATAATGACTACAATGAAGAAAATTATTTAACTTTTAAATCTATTTCCAGAGGCTAAGACAGGAAGATGTTGCACTTGTAAGACCAGCGTGGGCTACAAAGTGAACTCAAAGCCAACCTGAGCCACACAGCAAGACCCTGTATCAACCAATCAACCAATCAATCAATTGGGTGTGGTAGATTGCACCTGTAACCCCAGTACTCAGGAAGCTGAGGCAGGAGGATCAGTGCAAGTTCAAAACCAGCCTGGGCTACAAACCCAGGTCTCAAGGCCAGCCTGAAATGCATAACAAGACCCCCATTTCAAAAAGACAATAAAATAAAATTAAATTTAAAAAGTATGGGGCTGGGGTATAGCTCAATGAAAAAGCCCTGGGTCCAATTCCCAGGGCCAGTTTTAAAAAGTGTTTTAAAATTCATATTTTAAAAACTAAATCAGGAGGCCAGTGGTATGAATCAGTGATAACACACTTGGCCTAGCATGCACAAGACCCTGGGTTCAATACCTAGTGCCATAAAAATAAATAAATAAATAAATAAATTGAACTAAAGAAAAACTTACGTAGTTTAAAAAATATTAGTATGATTTTTGTCAAACTGACTAGTAGACAGACTACCTAAGAACTAAATAAATTATAGGACAGGTATGGTGGCCTGTAATCCCAGCACTTAGGAGGCTGAGGCAGGATTGCTGTGAGTTCAAGGCCAGCTTGGGCTACAAAGTGAGTTCAAAACCAGCCTAAAGTGCATAGTGACACCCTGTCTCAAAAAAAAAAAAAAAAAAAAAAGAATTTGATAAATTGAGCACAGAGAAATATCTTCAAATAGTGACTTCCTCTCCTATGTCCCAGATCTATAATATAGTTTTAAATTATCTCCATTTTCTGCCAAAAACATAACAGCTATAATATTTTTTATTTCTATTAGTGCCTAAAAAGGTCATATTGCAGCCACAGTCCAAAACTGTCAAAATTAAAATTCACTTCAAAGGTAATAATAGGTCCACATGCATTAAATTTTACCAGTTTTAAAAGGCAAAGTATTGTCTCTAAAATAAGTTCGGATCTTTTTTCATGTTTTAACCATTACTAACAATCTTTTTTTCCAATAGAGTTCTTTGA